GGGCTCTGGAGGGGCGGGGCTTGGAGGTATTCTCTGGGGCCAGCCTCCGCGGCTTCGGGACAAATTGGACCCGAGATTAAAGGACCGGAGTTTAACTCGAGGTGACTGCGTTCGTATGCAAATGTAATCTATAAAACCCCGCTTTCCGGGGTACTCTTTAAAGCCTTTTACCTCCGGGTGGGCGGGAAAGCCTGAATTTTCTCTTCCTTCTCTTTCATTGCCCCCCTGCCCGAAGAACAGAATGGCAAACTGAGCTCTGAGCCATTGACGCTTTTAAAGAAATCTGCGAACTCTTAACTCCTGGTGTTTTGAAGCCCTCTCTTTGAAGGACGGCTCCTCACCCAACCAGCGTGGCCTTCCCTTCTGCTCATTCCCCCATCTATAAAACGGGGTTGGCGTTGGGAGATCTCAACGCCTTCCCCATCCCGATACTTGTACTCCTACCCCCACTCCCTGCCTCAGTTTCCCGGAGCAAAATCCTGGATTTGCAAAATCTCCCCTGTTCTCGGCTGAGCCACCTCCTGTGACCACCAGGTGGCGCGCGGCCACCAGTGTCTGGGCCTAGCAGGGTGTCCGCCTTCAGTGAGACCCTCTCGGGACTCATGGCGGCTGCTGCCCGGGGTTCTAAGCCCTACCTGGCCTGCTTGAAGACAAAGAACAAGCACGTTAGTGCTTGGCCCGCAGCTTCCTCACTGGCTGCCCATTCCCCGCCCTCCTTAGTCGTTGGTTCAGCTGTGTCAGTCTGCTTCGTTTTAAAAGTCTTAATGCCTGCACGAGAGTCCCTGTCTGAATCCGACTCTGCCCCACTTCTCATGATACCCCTTCCCTTCCCTTGCCTACTGTGCACAAATATTTTTCACTTCGCTGCATTTGCTATTGGCTGTTCCTTACCAGCCATGCATCCTTAATCTGTGCCTGGACTGTCCTGAGTGACAATAACGCTGTGTCATCTAAACCTCACAGCACCTCGAGGAGGTAGCTCCAGTATTGCCCCCACTATGTAGGAAGAGGTTACCCAACAGTGATGGGGATTCCAGACCCAGGAGTTCCAACAATAGAAGTTAAGCCCTTGGCCCCTTCAAACTGGAGTGCTGCGGACTTCACTCACCCCACTCCTAAATTCCTGTTTACTTTTGGGATTCTGTTCAGATACTTGTTCAGAGGTAGCTTCCGTGATAATTGCAGCCAGGAGACATTGAGATCCCTTGTGTTCCCTTCCTACTCTCTGGCACTCTGATTGCTTCCCCACTGCATTCCACAGCCAGAGTGGGGTGTGTGTGTGTGTGTGTTTGTGGGAGAGGGGAAGAAGACAGGTCCACCACTCTGGGTTCCAAAATGTGTTTGGTGGCCTTCCTAAGACCAGAAATTCCCTTCCTATGTCCAGCCTCCATAATAGTAAGTTCCCCTTCCCTGGAGACCTGTTCATGGGTTCTGTGGTACTGCAGAAACCTCTGGAAGGGCTGGGGATTCGAGGTTTCAGTGGGTAAAGATTCTAAGCTGACTTACACTCAGCAACGTGCAGATCATTCACCCAAACACTCTGTTCTTACAAAGGGCGCCACTCCCCATCCTTCAGACTCCAACGCTGTCATCATATGCCACAAATGCCTCTCCCTGAATGGTCCCGTTAAATCCCTTCTCACACCCGTTATAACCCCAACTGCTGAGCACAGCGACTGCACATAGTCAACACTCAACAAGTAATGGTAAATAAAATAATTTACATTCAAGTGGGTAAAGAAAGGAAACATCTGACCTTTCTACTCAATAACTGACTTCAGTATGTTCCCCTGAGCCTCAAAGTCCTGGTTTCTAAGGCAGGCAAAATAGCAATGATAGTTGCTACCTCACAATATTGCTATGAGAACCAAATTAGATGACATGTGCAAAGTAATTAGTATAGCTCAGACCTAAGAAGCAGGGCCTGTTATTTATAGAGTTGTCCTAAGTCCCAGTTAGCTCTCTTCTGAAAATACTTTTGGAGAAGAATCAACTCCAAACAGAATGAGCAAAATGACGATGCACTGAGACCCCAGCCACTGTCCTATTGACTAGAGAGCCAGCATCCACCAAGAGCCTTTTGCCTACATTTTCCTCCCAAGAAGTCAATACTTTTCACCCGATTTACACATGTGGAAACAGGCACTGGAAAAAACACCTTCAGCCAGCAGTACTCATCAGAGAGTGGTGAACTGGAAAGGAAAGGAAGAAGGTGAGATCCAAGGGGAGTGGGCCTGAGGCTAGAGACAGTCAAACAGGCCCAGACAGGGATACAGCTAAGTACCCCAGCATGGGCCGGGGTCCTGAAGTGGGGGAGACAGACACCCATGAAATCGAAGAATCACACAAACCCACAATTGTGTATCCATGCTACAGCTGAGAGCACATTTAGAAATTCCTGGTTCTGGGCCTCCCTGGTAGCACAGAGGTTAAAGACACAACCCTATCAAGCTGTCGCCAGCCCCTGCAGGAGTTTCAGCCCTGGCCAGCCACGGAGCTGACCCACATGGCACAGCAGACCTCTCCTGTCTCACCTACTGCTCCCCTCAGCAGTGTCTAAGTCCATCTGCCTGTTCTGGCCCCCACTCTTGTCTCGGGTGACTCCTCTCACACACACCCGCATCTCTGGCTTACACCCTAGTATGTGTAAATAAATCTTTTTTTAAAAAATACAAATTCCTGGTTCTTTGGAAGTGACACTCCTTCTGGTTGGGGGTGGTGGTCAGGGAAAAGTTTTTGGAGTAAGGAGCATGGAAATAAGATGAGAAGGGTGAGTAGGAGTCAGACTGGGAAGAGAGGGAGCTTCCAGTGGAAGGAACAGCATGTGCAAAGTTTCCCAGAACAAGTTGGAACAGAGTGGAGCCATCCTGGCCGGAGCCTACTGATGAAGGCCAGGGAGCAGGGTGAAAAGCCAGAGACCTTGAGGCCATGGGGCCAGCAGAGGGCAGTGTTCTCTGGCGACCTCCTCCTCCAGGGCGCCCCAAAGAATGCAAGTCACAGAGAACAGGGAGAAAAGTCTGGGAAAACGAGCTGCCACCGGGTTCTGTTTGTTTCAAGTACATTTGATCTTTTTTTGAATAAACCAAGCACTGACAGATTCATAGGATGCAAAAATAATTATTCAAAGAAAGGTAAGTCTGGGCCTCCTGGTGGTGCAGGGGTTAAAGACACAGCTGTCTTTATGAAGCTGTCTCCCCCCCACACACACACTGCAGCAAAAGTTGGCTCCCTGGCCAGGGAGCTGACCAGGGCACCGCACACCCCTCCTGTCTCTCCCGCTGCTCCGCTCCGCAGTGTATTTCAGTCGCTCCACCTGTTCTGCTCCCCTTCTGGTGAATCCTCTCACCCCCCACACCACTGGCCCACACCCCAGTTCTTGTATGCATCAATAAATCTTTAAAAATAACAAAGGTAAGCCTTAGTCACCACACCTCTCACAGAGAGTGTAGGTGCACGTAGGAACACACACATGCCATGTATTTATTTTTTACACTATTCTAGTTCTGAATGTGATCCTCCCAGGGGTCCCTAGTTATGAAAGAAGCTAATCACTGAACAGCTTCTGCACAAGATTCTTTAACTCAAGTAGGAGTCCTGGGGTCTCAGGTCAGTGGCTCTCAAACTTTGGAGTGCTTGTTAACTCCTAAAGTAACTGTTTCATTAGGCCTGTGGTGGGGTATGAGAATTTGCATTCCTTGGAGGGAGAGACAGTCCCCAATAGTCTTAAGGTGATGCTGAAGCCTCTGGCCCTGGGACAGGCACTGTACCTCGGGGCCCCAGAGCTAGCTGCTTGTGGGGACAGACAAAGGCTACCTGCTGATTCCCTCCCACAAGGAAAGACTAAGGACTCAAGGAAACACACCAACAGGAAAAATTTCACAGGCTGGCAGTCTGTGAAGAAAATGAAGAGGGGCCAGGAGCACATTCAGGCCTGAGGGTGACATTTTTTAGCTGGGGGTTAGACACATGGAGCTGTCTTGGGCGCCTGGGGGGAAGTCACTACAGAGGTGCAGAGGAAAGGGGGTTTGCGCCTGCCTGGCCTCCCCTAGGTGTGCAAAACCCAGAGGATCAGCAGAAAGAGCCCCAGGGGAGACAGTGGGGGGGGAGGGGAATAGGCAAGAAATCAGGTAAGGGGAGGGAAGAAAAGGGGGTGTGAGCAAGCACTGCCCACTCCAGGTGCTTCCTCAGTTCAGTTACCGAGCACCCCAACCTCTCCACCCTCCCCAGACCTCAACAGGGCATCTCTGTGGAGCATGGAGACCCAGAGCCCCAGAGCACTTGGGGCAACGGAGGGGCCAGCCAGGAAGCCGAGAAGGGAGGTGCTTCCTCCTGGAAGTGGGGTGCGAGGGTCTTTAAGGGGTCGGAGCTACAGGAGTTTAGTTGGGGATCACGGAGAGGGATCTTGGAGAGAAGAAGAAATGGAACTCGAGGGCGAGAAGCATCTCAAGGGTAGAAGGCGGCGCTGGCCTGTTGGGCGTTTGGAGCGCTCAGAGCTCTGTTCGTCTGCCCAGGGCATCACTCATCTGAACCCGATGACCACGCCAAAAGGAAAGCACTGTTACCCCATTTTACAACCGAGGAAACTGAGGCCGAAAGAGGTGAAAAGACACGCCCAAGACTCCTCCCAGAACAGGACCTCCGCCTATATGGGGAACCCCCGCTCCGCTTACTGTCCCCTGCGCTCCTGTGGGTTTGAGCAAGAGCCCCTCTCCACCCCCCCCTCACCCCCGTTTTTTTTTTTTCTTGTCATGGCAGGGATGCACTATGGAGCGCAGAGCTCCAGCCTGGGACTGGCGG